TTTTATGTTATGAGTGCTTAGTGTATATTTAGTTGATGTTTTTCTTAGTTCATATCTTAGATGTTATTACTGTTTTTCTTATACATTTTATTGTTGGATGTAACTGGGACCCTGTGTACATAATTTCGCTCCACCACATGTACCACATGAGGTGCGAATGACAATAAAGAAACTCTGACTCTTTCTGTAAATCAAAACGTCTGTTTTACAGAAGTCCAACATATGAATTAAAACAAGGTACAATATTCCTCCTATCACACCATCACTAAAATGAAATATAAATTAGGCAGAACTGAAAATGCTTTAAGCTATTTGAAACCATTTGTGCAGACAAAATAAAGACTAGACCTTCACACTACAGGGAGGAAACAAAACTGAATCTAAGAAATGCAGAGGGTCCAAACCAGTGGCAGTTTTAGACTCTTTTTGGGGGTGCTGAAGCACCCTTAAATTTTAACTCGGCACCCCTGAAAAATAAAGTAAATTTTTTTAGGCAGTTCTGGGTTCTGTTTATTGCATTTATGATTCACTGCAACAAAATAAACAAATTTAAAAGGTAACAGATCACTGTAATACTTGATTTATTTATAGCATCTTAGCTAGCGCATCTGTATTGCACGTAGTTAGCTTAGCGCTATTTCTTTTTGTGCCGAGCGCTCGAAAATAGTTAATAAATCAAATGTTTATTTATAGATGTTTAACAATCCACTAAAATACACCATAATGCAGGAAATGGAATCTACTTAATTCAAAATTTTCTGGGGGAGGACCCCCCCCCCCCCCACACACACACACACACCACCACCAGTGTCCACCCCACTTAACAAATGCTTCTGACGCCAATGGCCACCATGTTGTTTAAGCTAAGAGCCGTTTTAACACTGGGGGCTGAGCACCCCTAAAGGTCAGATTCTAGAATCGCCCCTGGTCCAAACACTCCGTCCCTTTTTGCAAATGTGCTGAAAGTCATTAAGGGCAGCAACATATGGTTTTAATTTATCCTTATTTTTGGATTTAAGAAAGGCAAATAAACAGTGCAGGATGGGGAAAAAAAAAAAAGATGAAATATTTTTAGAAATAAATATTTAAATAAAAAAGCCTCCAGCACGACTTCTTGATTGCGTGGGTTACATTTTGATTGGAGCGAAACACCGAAACAAGCTCGTCTCGTTCTGTATGACCTCAAGTGATTTATAGTTTCTTTGCCACAGCACTGTGGTCAGCCTCTTGTTCTACTGTAAACATGTCGGATGTCTGTTTTGGTGGAGCCATGCCAAACCCAAAGAACAAAACAAGGCTGAGAGAGCATGTTCACACTGTGCTGTGTGTCATTAAGTCACCAGAGCAGTAGAAAGAATGTGGAGGAGTGAAAGAGAAAACAAACAACAAAAAAAAAAAAAAAGTTTGATAGGATGGAGGCTCGACTCACCCACACCACTGTCGTCCATGGTGGGGTTGTCAATCCAGCGCTGCGCCTGTTCAGTCTTCCCCTCTAAGTGAACGGCTGCCTTTGCAGGTCTGCTATTGGCCACAGCCTTGTTGGTCTTGGACTGCAGGTTCTGCAGGGCTGTTGCTATCTGCTTGGCTAAAGCCCTGGCCTCAGGTGTGTCACCTTTACCCCTATAAGGAATTAAACGCATCGGTTTCATTTATTATAATGGAGACAACATATATATCGGGAATTGTCAACTAGTGTGAAATTAGCACGCAAGTTTATACAAAACTTCACTAACAAAGTGGTCAAAATTAACCTCTCGTGTGGTATTTCAGTTCTTTGTTCAAGCAAACATAACATAAATTCCACTCCTATCAAACTGTGCCGTAAGATGACTACATTCTCACAGAAAGCACACTTTCTGGCAAGACCAGTCAGTTTTTCTGTGACGTAAACAACTTCCTTTGTAGAGAAGTTAAAAACTGAGATGGGATCATTTACACAGCTATAGGATTTAACCTCCCTTTATAAAGAGGAATCCTGTTGCAGCTCAACTTACTGTCTTCTCAGCTCAGATAGCTTGGCCGTCATGGCGGCCAGCTCTCCAACTGAGCGCAAAATCTCATCTCGTTCTTTAGGGTCCTCACACATATCTGCGATCTTTCTGGCCTCAGCAAGGAGGCCTCTGATGTTCTCCTCTCCCTCGGGGCCGCCGTTGGGGTCTGCGAGCCAGCTCTGCAGAAGGAGGCAAAGACAAAACACAATTAAGAAACCGTAAAATTGCTACAATTCCTGCTTCGTGACATCTCGGTGAAGATGTAATCACTCACTTGTGCAGCGTCGATCCTTTTGGCGATGGCCTGCTTGGAGTTAGTCATGGCCTCCAGTTTGCGAGCAGCATTTTGCACCTTGCCCGTGAGCACATCGAGTCCCTGGGAAACCTGCTGAGCCTTCTGCATGGCGGCTGGGGATGCTCCTTGACCTCTGGTGTAAACAAAAAGCATATGGATGTCAGGTGCTGCATTTTAAAAGCCACACCGACTAGTTTTCTGTTTGCTTACTCAAAGGTTTAGGCCTCGAGGTCTTTTTTTAAGAGTACCAATTCCTAACTTAATCTTCCGAGGAGTGTTTTTAACAAGGTCTGAAAGTAGATTATAGATTTATTCCTTGCAGCTGTTTCTGATCTAAAGGGGCTCAGTCTCTGGTGACAATCAGATTTCATATCAAAAGGATAACAAACACTTCCACACTTACACTATAATCCTCTCTAACATGATTAGGAAAATAACACCACTGAGCCCCATACGGATGCAAAATGAAGCTCATGTGAAGAGCATTTATTAAAACCAGTCACGATGAAAATAGAAATAAACATCAAGATGTGGCAGAAAAGAAGTATTGAGAGATTAAACTGAATGTTATCTTTGTAGCGTAACAGAAAATAAAGAGACTGTTTATGATGAACACTGTACCTGGCTCTCATGTCAGAAACATGGTCCGTCATCCCACCCAGAGTCTTAGCTGTGCCCAGAATATCTCTGCGCTCCTTCCCAGCACAAAGTTCACCAACTTTCCCCGCTTCATCCAGGATCTGTCGGATGGCCTGCTCGCCAGCATCTCCTGGAAGCAGAACAAATCGTGTCAGATAAACCACAAATTTAACAACAAATAGGTTCCAGTGTGAGTAGCTGCAGAACTGATAGCTAAAGGCAGCAGCAAGGATATTTTTTTTTTTTCTTACCTGGTGGAGCGTTTGGATCCCTCAGCCAGTTTTTAGCCTGAGCCATCTTTGAATCAATCAACCCCAGAGCTCTCTTCATGGCTTCTGTGTCCTTTGGGTTTGAAAAAACTAAATTAAATCTCCAAGGGAATCAATGCAACAACAATAAACCTTTACTTATAATCAAACCATTAAACAGCTCATCTTTCCCTAGAATATATGCTTCTACATAACTTTCATACTACTGTATTTTTCAGACTATAAGGCGCACTTAAAATCCTTTAATTTTCTCAAAAATCAACAGTGCGCCATATGTATTAAGTCTGGTTGTGCTGATTGACCTCGAACCAATTTTATGTTACAAATGAACAACGTTGAGAGTTATTGTGAATGAGTTGAATAAAGTTTGACTTATCTGACTGTTTTGTTTCACTTAGTGTGCCTTATAGTCCGAAAAATATGGTAATTTTATAGTAATTCTGTAAATGTTTGTGGAAAAAAACTACAGAATTAAATTGTTTTCTTAAGAAATCAATTTACGACTTGGCTTTTAATGTCCTTTTATTCCCTTTGAGTCTGTTACTTGGCCAGGCAAAGTCTTAATGCTCTGGTCATCGTCATGATTAATCCACATTTATAAAGTTATTTCTGTAAAGTAACATCTGCTTAGAATCACACATCACCTCTAACAACTGGTGATCAAAACGGTTCAAACCATGCTGTTTCCATCATTCCTTCCTTGCCATGGTCAATATACAGTGTGTCACGTTATAAAAACCAAACTAATGTCATTCCATTGTATCTCATTCAGAGTGGATGGAAATACAACAGACAGCAACTGAGCCAACAATGAAGCCTCTCATTGCAGGAGACTACAAAACAAAGCAGAGTCCTGTAGGAGAGACCGCATTAGAGCATTGTGCTTTTCTTATAGTACAAAACACAGATTCTTCTAAATGCAGCTCGGTTATTCGTAGTTCAAAATGAGTTTCAAAGCAAATCAATTCAAATTTTGGCTCGTCTTTGAAATCTGCAGCGCACAAAATGATTCAAACTTGAGCCAATGTCTTGACAAAACGGGAAAATCAAACGAGCTTGAGTGAATGTCCTGTTACCGTGAACAACAAGTGAGCGCACGGGAAGAAAAGAGGAAGTAAAAGACGATGTGAAGTGACAACACAACTTTGTGACTCTTAGTTTGTTGCTCAAACGTGCAGAGCATGCTGCTGCTGTTCCGACGCTCATGTGGGGGTGCTGAAAATAGCCTGTTAAATAAACTAAAAGACATAAAACGAACAATAATTTTCTAAAAATCAAAGGGCTCTTGTGTTTAGAGATTATACACAGTGTGATTTATGGCATTAAAAATAAATACAGTGTTTAGTGCTCATTAAAACCAAAATTTAAGAGAAAACTAGTCTGTATTTTTTGGATGAAAGCAAAAAGAATGCCGCTCTCTTCCATTAGGAAAAACTTGATGTCCATTAACCTTCAGAGATATCCTCTTAATGACAGCAAAATCAATATGCATGAGTCAGATCAATCAATAACCTATCAGGGGTGTAGCAGTGTTTGAATGGCACAGAAGGGCACACAGATGTTGACACAATGTTGTGTTATTATGCAAAAACAAAATACAAAAACTTTTTTTAGAAAAAATGCATAGATCATCATAGATGGTCACCAATCCAACTGCTAAAGTTCATAAAAAGCACTTTTCATTGGTAGTGAATGAAAAACCTAAAATAAAGTCAATTAGACTCATCGCTGCCTAAGAACTCAAACGCACAATGCAGCACACTCATCTGCCAGACATGCTGCAGCTGCACAAGCAGGGAGTGACAGGTGAGGCTTACCTTCTACAGGGAGTGAAGTGACAACAAACAGTAGAAACAAAGAAGGAACAACATAAATGCAAACGTTCAACTTGGCATACCAAACACCAGCAACAACAAAAAGTAAAAAATAAAAAACAACAGATTTTTTGCATGCAAAGAAATCTTTCCTAATGCATCAGGACAGTAAAAAAAATAAAAAAAAAAAGAGCTGAAAAAGATTAAAGAAGACGAATAAATCACCTGAATAGAGATACAGAGAAAGTGCATGTCTGCTTTAATACCAACTGTACGTAGAACAGTTATTACTCACATTTATCCAAAGTAATATGATGCAACATTATTATAAGCTGAGTGAAGGTGCTTTTTTAAAAACACTACTGTTATTTGATTTTAGGTAAAAAATGTATTTAAAAAAATGAAAGCATCTCAAACGGCACTGCAGTCCGTTCTTTCAGTGCAAGTTCTTTTAATATTTGCTATACAGTAGTCCCTCGCTACTTCGCGGTTTGACTTTTGCAGACCTGCTTTTGTGGTTTTTCAAAGTAATATTGTACGAGGGACAAAAATTTTACACGACACACGACTGTCAACTTTAATATTACTCACGTGATTGGGATAGTACAGGATCCAGTAAAAAATTAACCAAAAATAAATAAATACTTCAGACAGCCATTTTCTAGTTTTCTCTCAATAAGCCTACACTGTATCGCCACTCGAAAGGACTACATTACCCAGAAGCCAACAGTGCCCCGCCCAAAAGCCAACAGTGCTTCCAGTCGTTGCTTTCTGCTGAAATGGAGGGAAAGTTTTGATCCGATCCGAAAAAGTTCAATCTTTATTCATAGTGACTTCGGCACCCAGCGGATGCAGAGCCGCACAGAACCGGACCTCCAGACTCATCGGTCAGTCTGAGTGCTGCTTGCCGGCCCATGAGACTTCTCGAGCGGGGAGGCGTCGCTTGGAGATCTGGTGTTATCTCTGGAGCTCACTGGGACTTTTTTCATCCAGATTTGGACTCGATCAGGACCATTGTCTTGTTTTGTGCTGGCTATCCGAAGGTCCGGCTCTCTTGAAAAGCGTTTTGATCTCAAGGGCTTCAGAGAGCTGATCAGAACCGGACCACAAGTGGCAGGGTAGGTCTGCTGAACCGGAATCGAGCTGCTGTACACTATCAAGTTATCTCGATGAATAAACTCTTGCTAACTAAACTTTTACTTTAGTTTAGTTGATTTAAATGTATGACTGAACTGTTTTGGTTTGTTGTTTCAACTCAGAAATCTGTCGATTTAACTTAAGTGTTAAATAAAAATAAAATAAAATAAATAAAGCGTTTCTACTTCACGGTTTTTCACTTATTGCGGGCGTGTCCGGAATGTAACCCCGCGACAATCGAGGGACTACTGTAAATGGTTTTAATGGTTAACAAGCAACATTGTGCTGTTTTTTATTACTTGATATAAATCTGGAGAAGATAACTGTATTAAGGTGAATGACGGTCAGAACAAACTGCACGTTGGACTCCACACAGATGGTATTATATTGAACCATCTGTCCAATAAGTACCCCAGGAGATTTGATACAGAATAAATCACTTGTATTGGTAATTTAACCTTTCTCTGTTAAACAAACAAACATAAAAGATATTAAGCTTATACAAGTGTGTGCAAAATATGTAAAACTTGTGAAAATCCATTTATTGTTTACCTTGTTGGCCCAGGCATCTTCATCCCAGGATGTAAGCTGCAGGACTCGGATGATCTCATTAATCTCAGCGCTCATCTTCTCAAAAGTAAAGTTCCGGTTCTTTAAGGCCTCCTCCACACCCTGGCTCCCTGACGTCTTAGTTGTTACAAAGATTTTTATACCTGAAATGTTTAAGAAAACTCAATATTTATATAACAGTTTAAAGAAACGTCTCAAGGTTGATTATTAGTTTAAAGAAAAAAACAAAACACGGAATATAATTTTTTCTCTTTGTGAAAATTAATTAAAAAAACAACCTGAGATGAGGATGGGGAGTAGCTCTTTGACTGTGTTCATAGAATTGACCAGCATCACACGATGCTCCTGATGGGTAAGCTCCTGCTGTCGCTCATCTATCATCTTCGCCATCTTTGTCATACCTGGAAAGAAGCAGCACAATAGCTTTAAAGAAATATATTTAAACAAATGACACTTAAAGTAAAAGTGACTTTTAATGAGACACTTTGCTTGCCATACAGAGCCACCTTCGTCTCGCTCTGGAACTCCTGGAACAAATGCCAATTCAGCTGCATTTCACCGCGCCGCCCAGGTGAAATGCAGCTGATTTGACCATTTAAGTGCATTTATTAAGGAAAAGTTCAACTGAGACACACCTTTACTATAATGTTGAGCAAACTAATTGTTTTTAGGTGGTTATCTTGTTAAATTTCGAAGAAATGCACAGCGAGTCCTCCCTCTGTGCGCTCCCGCAGCCGCAAATAGATTTTTGAAATGCAGCTGATTTGACCGTCAAAGTCCTTTTATTAAGGAAAAGTTCAACTGAGACACACCTTTGCTATAATTTCAAATAAACAAATAATTGTTTTTAAATGTTAATCTGGTTAAATTCTTGTTAAAGTCCTCCCGTGCCATTTGGCAGCCAATCACTTTTTGGCACAACACCGCCCCAGGTTTCTGGGTGGTGAGCAGTGATGCACAACAAACGCGACAGCGGTGACACACAATACATGCAACTTGTATGGCAAAGCAACTTATTAATGTTTTTTCCAACTTTTTTAGACATTTTAGACATATTTTGACTTATACAACTTAAACGGCGGTGCGACGTGTATGGCAGAAAGTACGGTAAACATGAGATTTTTCTGTGATGCTTCTTTATGGTTGATGCTGATTTACGTTTTAATAAAAGAAAAACAGGGATGTAGTGGGTTACTTTCAAATTCTGTTAGCATTTGTTGGACCTTCACTTGTCACAGTATAACATTTAATTTAAGAAATAAATGGTCATCAAAATGTTAATCTGAGATGCGGTTAGGATCACGTTTCACTGCCATGTTAGTGTTATAAAGAGACTGACCTGGTCCCAAGTTCTTTGTGTAGGTGATCAAGTCCTCCATGGTCTCCACAACCTCCGCCACTGTCAGATACTCCAGAATGCCTTTGCACACACGGATTATTTTGCGGACCTATGAAACAATAATTGGACAAATGGACAACAAATCATTACAGAAACACAACGCTGCGTTCTCAGATTAAAGTGATTACATGAACACAACTGGCCTCTCTTCCCTCCTCACATTCCCTGTAATTACAAACTGATAAAGTTGTCTTCTGACATTCCAGCCTCTTTGTCCTTTATCCCTCTAGTTTTATATAGACTGCTGGAGTCACCACTTCACCACACAGAACGCTGCCTGACCTGCAGTGCAAAAAGATGACGGCACTGCTGACTGATGCTGACTCCTGCAGATGTGTCGGGATGCCTGATATGCGCTTCCAGACTGCTGATCTGCAACTTCTCTCTTTCAGTTACTGTCCCCGAGCGGGAAAGAAGGATGGGCTGATACATGACACCTTTGTCCGATTTAGGATGTGGAAAGTTCTTCCAGTTAGAAACAAGGACAGCAGCCTAATGTTTGTGTCATACTTTTAGCTACCATAACGATTAAGCTTAAAAGTAGTCACTGCGTTGTCATTAAATTCATCTGATAATTTAGTTCACAGGCTGCTCTTGAAGAATGTTAACTTGTGCTACATAAATGAATAAACTGTAGCCATAACTGGTTCAATGAATCCATGAATAAGTACCTCTGCTTCATCAAAGGTCAAGAGCAGGTCAGAAGTACCGGACAGGATGCCCCGAGACCCGTCGATGAGGTAATCCCGAGCAGGAACGGAGTATGGATCAGCTTTCAGCATGGAGGCAGCCTGCACCAGCTTTGTGCACGCATTCTCCACCCTGTGAAAAACAGAAGATTATTATTTACATTAAAAAGAAAAACACACCACAAAATAATTACCTCAAATTCTGATTTTGTTGAGTTAAAAAACTGACATCACAAGTGGAAACAGTAAAATTATGTAAGTAATAACTGGTAAATATGACCCAATTTCATTTTCTTTCATATTTTTGTCACATTTTATGCAAATACTTGAGTTGAAGCTTAAGCCTGGATAAAATAGTCCCATAAGCTTTTTGACACTGGATGCTAGAGAAAACTAATCACATTTAGTAATACTTGAGTTTAAATTCCAACTCATCCAACTCCGAAAATTTTAACTTTTTATTCCTTTAGATCAAAAAAACTTATTAAAAAGGCTCAATTCAGTCTTCTTTGCTAAAAGGAAATTACTTTCTACTGTACATCTGCTACAAATAATTGTAATGAAATAGTAGAAACTATTAAAAAAAGGGTAACTAAAATAAAACATACATGTGAAAAAAAAAATCAATCAGCGCTGACGGCAGAGTCGTTATAAAAAGGAGCTGGTCGTAATGTGTCAAATTAATGATGAAGTTTAAAACGACAAGTCAAAACGTTTCCCTGCAGAGCTCCCATGTTACAAACAGTCCTACTTTCAAAGACAATTCTGTTGGTGAGAGTTTTAAATTGCATCATTTTATTTATTCACGGTGTATTAAATTTTCACAGACGAGTTGTGACTATTTTGGCTCTTGGGAGACATTATAAATTAGCTTCATTTGTAATAATGAGAGGAGGAGAAAAGAAAACAAAAAAAGGTGTCAGTGCATCAAAGTTCATGCTCAATAATCCAGGTAAAAAAATCTAACAAAGTTCAGTCAGGTCATCTGGATGGTTTCCTTTTTTTTTTTTAGACGTTTCGTCCTTCATCAGTCTGAAGAGCCACAAACAAACTCAGTCTGACAAGCAGCACACTCCCATAATGGACATAGTGGATACTACACAAAGGGAGTGTGCTGCTTGTGGGACTGAGTTTGTTTGTGGCTCCTGAGATTGATGAAGTCCTTTGGATGAAGAACGAAACGTCTTAACAAAAAAAAAAAAAGAAACTAGAGATGCACAATATTATCGGCATGGTATTGGCCGATATTAGCGTTAAAGTTCAATATCGAACATCGACCATTCCATTAAAATAACTTGCCGATATAAAAGGCAATGTTTTTGCCTGCAGCAGCAGCACAACGTGATGACGTCACGTGCGCCTACCCGATCTCACGGCGAAGAGGAAAATTCAAAATGTCGACGGTCTGGAAGTTTTATTTTTCCGATGGTGAGGATGTCGGATTCCAAAGATTTATGGACTACATTGAGCCTCGCTACATCGTCCGCAGTCTGAGATATTTTTCCAACGTAATGTTACCAGAGTAACAAGCCGTCAAGTCCGACGTCATTGAGAAGCCAATAGCCGATAGCACGACTTGTTGGGTGAGTTTTACCACGGACGTCAATTGTTGGCCCCGTTAGCATGATTAAGTCTTATGGCACAATGGATAGACAAAAACTTTGAACTTAAAAAGTCTGTCCTTCATGCACAGGAGTGCAGAGGATCCCACACTGCAGCTAGGAACCTGGAACAAGTAAGACGGCATCGCAGGTGACTAATGCTAATAAATAACATTTAACACTTTTCATTTAATATAAGTTAAAGTGCTATGCATATCATATGGCTGTTACTGAATATATGTCACCAGCTCCTACAGCTGTTGCACAATTTTTGTAGCAAATAAGCCTAAATAAGACAAATATGTTCTGACAAAGGAACGTATATAAAATATCGGTATCGGCCAAATAAGTTTTAACATATCTGCATATTGGATATCGGCCAATATTGATATCCAATATTGTGCATCCCTAAAAGAAACCGTCCAGATGACCTGACTGAACTTTGTTGGATTTTTTTTTACCTGGATTATTGGCTATGGCTGCCTGAAAGGAGATGATGGGGGAGAGGGTGGGCCCCAGAAACCATCTTATCACCAGCAAACTGGTTGGTCCACTATGGGAGTGTGCTGCTTGTGGAACTGAGTTTGTTTGTGGCTCCTCAGATAGATGAAGTCCTTTGGATGAAGGACGAAACGTCTCAACAACAACAAAAAGGTGTCAATGTAGTTTTCCATCAAACTGTGAGCTCTAAATGCAGGTGAAAACTGACAGAAACACCACAGCTGTTTTGTCTGATGTGCTGATGAAATTTGGAGCAAAACTGCGATAAGCAAATAAATTAAGGAAGAAAAAATGTTTTATTTTGACTCCAGTCTTTTTTTACATTATGTTTTTTCTACCATGGAATGAAAGTTAACTTGCAACACCAGGATGTGTTAAGCTCACGTCTGACTGGCCTTGACTTCATTTAACACCAGCTTGCAGAAAAATGTAAGCGATTCAAATAGTTGCCTCCTGGCTATGATGCGCTCCCTGATCTCCAGTCCAGAGCAGTAAAAATTTGCCGGCTCAGCAATCTGATTCATCGTCATACGTGCTGCCTGCGTAGCATCAACAGCCGTTCTGCACACGGAAACAGGCAGGAGGTCAAAGCACCAACATGTGTTCCCACAATACCCACACTTCCCACTTTTGCCTTAAGGCCAACTCTTAAGAGTAATGGAAGATTGCAGTATTAACATTTTCCACATTTTAAGATGCCACAAAAAGGAGCCAAAAGAAAGGATCATGGTTTAGGTTTTAGAGTCCTGACAATAAAAGGCTTTTCTATTCTGTAAAACTGATGTGTATGTCTCCGTCTTCAGCATGAGACAGAAGCATATGTCTGACTGCACTAGCTGGAAACAACCATGCAATAGCTGGAGCCTGGCAGACTATATTTAGTCAGGAGCGGTGCATTCCAGCACATGTGCTGATGGATGACGACAGGGTGACGATGTGACTTTGAGGCGCCAAATGTGTTGAGCCCCGACGACCTGTGCCTGCCCGTGCATTTTATCCCTGACCTTGGGGGGCTCCGAGGATCCCCCTTTCCCCTACTTTTCTTTTCTTTTTTTTTTTATCTAAAAATAACTGATACAGACATCAACATTCCCACACTAAAAATGTACATATTTCATCTCTTTTCCCTACATTCTCATGTTAACCAGAGCATAGCGCTGTACTCAGACTAACGACTTGCTTCTAAAAAGTAAAGCAACTCCTTCCAGATAAAAATGTATTTCAGGAACACCAGAGCAAGAGTCTGAGGCACTTAACATGCCATGTCTGACCTTTGCCTGGGCACAACCAGCCATTTCTGCTGCAGACAAAGACAGAAAGAAAGCCAAAGAGAAAACCTAGTGTGCTCCACACCGCACCGAGAGTTATCTGTGAAACATTTGAGGTGTTTGCCAGAGTTTAAACTGAACGTGTTCTCTGCTTACTTGATAAAAGCTGGTGGCATGTCCCTTTTCATGAGCTGGTCTTCTGTGGTTTGTACGGTCTCCTTTCCAACCTGGAAAATATAAACACTTTTAGTAAAATTGTTTATTCCAAACATTGACACCTGTCACCATTCATTTCATTGTTTGGGATGGCCCCTGTGGATGCATCCTTCAGCAAGTATGAGAGTAATCTGATTGCTTTTGGCTCTCTTCTAGCCAGGAAACTTGTTTCATGCAGATAGAAGGAGCCGCATCCCCTGGCACAGGGATGCCCAATACGTAGATTGCGATCTACTGGTCAATCGCAACAGTAATTTGGGTAGATCACATTAAAAAAATAGACTATGAAATTTGTTACTTAGTTTTTCTACAGGGCAGCCAGTCTGGCCCCACTGACATCGTGAAACAGCAGCCTCTCTGCTGCGGTTCGGACGTTCATTTAGATGCCAACAGCATTCACTCATTATTTTTTCTATCCCAACAGTTTTTGTCTTTAAGGTTCACCTGCACCTACATCTGGACCTGCCATTCTGTGTTCGTTTGCCTCTCCTTCCATCAAAGCAGATGGCTGCTTGTCCTGAGCCTGGTTCTGCTGGAGGTTTCTTCTTGTTAAAAGGGAGTTTTTCCCTTTCCACTGTTGCCATTGTGCTTGCTCAGGATACGAGGCTGTGACAAAGTGAAGATTCAACGAGTCTGCTGGCTTCCTTAGAGAACTTTACTAATTGGCTTTTCTATGTATGTGAATGTTCCTGTAAAGTGCTCTGAGACAACTTTGTTGTGAATTGGCGCTATATAAATAAACTGAATTGAATTCTCTAAAAGTTCCAGGTCTCAGAGTGGAAATTTTCAGAAGAACCCCCACAGTGAGGTGTGAAATGCTCACAAATGTCCTGGCTCGGCATATGAACACTGGATAAGAAAAGTCATGTATCATATTCATTTGGTAAAGATTAGATATGCTCTGCAGTGTTTCCCCTAGTTTACTTACTTCGTCAGGGCGCTCGTATCTTCTGCGATTTTTCTCGACCGGGTGATGATGATGGGGGGGCGTGGGTCGGTAGGTGGGGCGCTCTGTTCTGTTGACAGGGCGGGGTGCCCTGCTTGTATAATGGTAGGGGAAACACTGTTCTGGGAGAATCTTTTGAGAGATTCTGGGACACTTGGCAGCCATTTGTGTCTTATATTTAAAGTACCGGTATGTCAATGCCTGTTTAATGTATACAGTACATGTCTGTGTATGTAGCTGATCCAGTACAGGAGGGGTTTTTGCTCTATGTGTGCGCTCTAAAATACAAAATCAATTAAAAAAAAGACTGATTAAAAACAGACTAATTTTCCATCTTGTCTTTTCCCCCCTCTTTATCTCTTTTAGAGATGCAGGCCTTTTTTCCAGCATGAACTGCAAACTGGTTCAGCTGGACACATTTTACAGGTCATTCGTACATTTTGTTGACTACACTGCAGGTAAACAACATAGCAAAGTCAACAGGAAGCAAATATTAATCAAACTGAGCTGCCACAGTGAAATGCCTTCTTGAAGTGGCCTTTACGGTTTTATATTAGAATATTGAAGAATCTTTATTATTTTTGTCTGACGTGATTATGTGTCCAAATTCAAGCAGATTGAAGATTTTAGCCGACTGAACTTATCAGTATCATTTAGTGTTCTTGAAGAATTTTGCATTTCTTTTACTTTTTATCAAGCCGTCTTAATTCTCCCTCCCTGCTGACAATATTTTGTGCTTTGTGGCAATATGTACTTAAACCAATAGGCCAATTAAGGACAAAGCAATGGTTTTGTCTCTTTGTTCCTTTGACGAGTCTATGTGGTAAACCAGATGTATGAAAATGCACTTTGTGTTGGTTCATTGTAAACATTATTTTGTCACTTACAAAAAAAAAAATCATCTCACACTTGTATAGGTTCATTATTACTGAAACCTAAGAAGTAATGTTTGCATTTATATCTATTCCAAACTTTTTAAGTAATACAAGAGCAGTTTGTATATCAGAACTGTGTTATGTGCGATAACACGCCCTGCAGATTTTAGCTTTAAATCATACCATTTTTCAGCCCGATATCCTAAAGCTGCACTATCAGACCCGTTCTTCCTCTATCACAGCTGTTGGCGGTCGTGTATGTTTATAATGTGAAAAGCAGGTGAACTGGTTCACATGCCAAAATGTTTAACCACACAGTATGACCTCATCTTTGTGAGATTTGGCTTCTCAACTCTCCCACGTTGAGATGCTTGAGTTGAGAATAAATTAGCTCAAAGTGAAACATTACTCATAGCAACAAAGGATAAATGACCTTCAGCAGTAATGATAAAGAGAAGTTTATCTTTTGTTACTTTTACGTGAATATTTTCACAGATGAGTCGAAAAGTCACCTCAAGATTATTTATACCTCTGAGACACCAGATCAGTAATAAAACAAGCTAGTAATAATGCCATAAAATGATAAATAATTTATCACTTACTTGAAAATCTTTATATTATTAAAAGAATCAATGTGGCTAGAAAACATCCGTCAATGGCATCAGTGGGATGAACTTTAATCGAAACTAACCAAAGAAGCCAACAAAAAAATATAACAATCTTTCCTTGTTTTTAAGTTACTCAGCACACTTTTGATGCAGTGGTGGGAACTCTCAGAGAGCTTGTTAACATGTCGGACTACAGTAGCAGAGCCATTCCAGCTGGTTAACATGGAGGCAGAGCAGACATGCATTTCTTACTCCCTTTTCACAGGGCCTGGGGGACTTGGAAGAAACAAGAAGGTTATAAATTAGAGCAAAACGTTGTGCTGGACTTAGCTAAAGCATGGCAAAGGAAACTGTCCCGTTCAAAGCAAAGTGGCAATAATGCACAAAGGCAATACATGAACAAGAAGCTCTGAACAAAAGCCAACAACTAAAGTTGTCCTGTCAGATGTTTCCCTTTGCTTGAGGTCAAAAAACATGAAAAGGGAAACATTGCCAACTTTATAGATTTTAACTTTATATATACTCCTCATAATTAACAAGCATTATAAACGTAAAAGCTTCAGAAACAACCCTTATGACCTCAGAGAGCTGATTCTCTGATAGGATATCTCACCCCACTTTCTTGAGTAATCTCAGAACAGAACTGTTTAGACAACGCTAAGTTTCACACAAACTCAAGTCAAGTTCAGGCACGAGTTAGGCCCAACAAAGAGAGACCAACAGAGAACAGCGTGGAGGCCTGTTGCTGGAAGCAAGCTGTATTAATGAGCACCGAGTCATTCGCTCCCCAAACCATCAAACAGGAATCTATGAAACTGTGCAAATATGAGGCTCTGGATACATTCAACAGATCATCCGTGTCTTCCCTTTCCTCTTTCCTTACTTAGCCTCTTCCTGTTGTCTGAAGTTCAGAAACAGTCTGCAGCAGCCATCCAAGTCACTCAGTCAGACCCCAGTTTATAGCTGTTGTCAAGCAGTGTGGCCCTTTTTGCTATTTTGAGCCTACATCACAATTTCTGTCCACGTTCGGTCAACGTGAACGATGGTCAGCTCTGTCATGGGGTCGGCTAGTTGATATTTATAATTTTCCATAACCCAGGATGACATTTGTTAAAGAATAAACAATAAAATATACTGAATAACTACCGGTATTGCTTATTCCAAATAAATTTATTATCTTGGGACCCTGCTGCATTGATGATTCAATACTGACAGTAGGAAAGATTTAGTGAAGAAGACATAACAACCAAAACAGCCACAAAAATGCCCTCATCTTTGAATAGAATCGAACTGAAGAAGCTGTTGTTCACTTCCACATTCGACTTTAAAACCTTACACAAATTCGTCCTCTTCCAAGCTGACATACACCATTAATGCCCATCAGCCTTGTTTTATCATTTTGGGCCTGGATTGGAAACACTGACTGTCCTTTATCCACCCAAGAGCCCCAAAAGTAGAAACCCTGTTTTGTGAAGTAGCTTGATAAAGTGGCTGCTTTTTGAGAACAGCCGTGTCTTTGTTGACAGCAACCCATCCATCCAAGAGGCGAAGAAAGGCCGCTCTGAAAGCTTCGACGTCGCCAAGACAGAGCCTACTTTTCACATGTCGAGCGGGTTTTTTCACGACGACGCAGCAGTCCGCAACAACAGGAAGCATTTTTATTCTGCGCATTAATTTATGTCAAAACAAGTGCAGAACATCGATTACCATTTTTCAATTCAACCATTTTCAAAAGGACTTGGCAGTGCAATCTGATTAAGATTAGACAAATGACCACACCTTTGATCAATACTCATAAACCCAAAATCATCTAAGATATCAACTATCATTTGACTAATAATGAGTCAAGCAGCAGACAGATTGCACTAAAAGGTCAATGCCTTAATCACGCATGTGTCAAGTGGTGTCAAACATTATTTATTCATTTGGCTCTGGAAGTGGTTGGAAATAGTGCGTCCGAGGTGACGAAAACCACAAATCAAATCAAATGCCGTGGTGAAACGGCTCCTGCAGCCAGGGGGAATTTATCACAAGTAGCTCATGTTGCAGGAGCTCAACACCTCACGTAGAGTTAGTGGTGGAGCAGCACTCATCAGCCTCTGCTTTAAGAGTAAACAGAGTCAGTCCAATGTTGTAAGCCACCTATGGGCTTACACAAAACAAGGAAAGACATTGAGAGCATCTGCTGTCTGTTAGGGAGGAAGCCATCCCACATAGTGTCCCTAAAGGGGAAATAAACCATTTTATTAATTTTCCATGCAGCTGCAGGAAATGCATTTACTATAACTAGTGAAAAAATAAATCATAAATTAGTAAAACAAAATACTTTAGCTTACAAATAATGTTCATTAAACTACAAATAAAACAGGCTGAATTTGTTTTTATAAAGATAACAGACTTCCAAGCATATTAATTAAACTGCTCATCTGCGATAAATAAAATGAACAAATTCAGCGAATGTCTAAAAATCACACATATGGATAGTTTTTACTCTGCCGGAGATACCATTAGCAACGTAATGTCTTGTTCTGGTCCAAAATAAGAACCATGCAAGATTTACTGTGTAGACTGGTGATCCGCTA